TAAGGATATTAGCACGTAAGTATATGTAATGGATTCCTCAATCCGAGCTGCTATCCATTACTCCATCGTGCTACAATCTTCCAATATTTAAATGCAACGTCAATCGCCATCTTCTGTCTTCTTGAATCCTGTTCATCTTTTATCCTTTTCTCAATCTCCATACTCAGTTTTTGTTGGGGGGGGGGCGTTCTCGCTTTCACTCTCTCTAACCCCTGCTTACTAATGGCATTCTCACCTTGCTTGAGGTAAAATGTTTAAACAAAAATAAACTTTGCTCTATAGCCGCTTCCCCCACGGACGCAACGTCACAAGCCTGATGCGACTCTTGGCAAATTCTCGGATGTGTTCCATTCTTCAGTTCCACCATTTTAGTCTTTTACAGCTAAGAGACACCACGCTACCTGCATCGAGTCGAACCCGTCTCATTTCATCCATATTCCAAATATAAGTTCATTCCTCTCAGACAAATCTCCCCTAAGAATTACTACTTTGTGTAAAAGACTTCGGCGTTGATGTTTTCCTGAACATTACATTCTTAACACCTCCAAGTCAAACGTGAATTGTTATCTATCCTCCTTATCCTAATAACCTTTACATCCTAGCACCTTTTTCTTTCATTTATTTTTAACAAAAACTTGGTTTCAAGTTTTTCATTGTTCCCTCCCCATGCCGACCAGTCTTAAAATTGACAGTCTTTATATTTTCAAAGAATAAAACAGACAAATTTTTAGTTTTCCACGTAAAAGTCAACCGTAGTCGGGATCATGCAAAAGATCCTTTTCTTTAGCTGCATTGTGTGTTTCGTCAGGGGCTACAATAAATTTTGAATTCAGATTTTTTTTCTTCTAGACCGGTTGCACCCAAGGCTATAGAACTTTAACTGTCCTGCTGCAAAAAAAGTACTTTGTATTATTTGATGCCGAATTTTGTATGGGTCACCATTGTGAGGATCAAACTTGTTAGTATTCCATGAGGCGTGGCGCCAAAACAAAATCAGAGATAAGAATCTATGATCTTATCAATGTCAAGGAAAACTAAACATCACTTGTTATATTTGAATTTATCTGATAATTTTAAAAGACGAAAGAGACATTTGTTCTCGAAAAGTTTAACAAAAAAAGGAAAACGAATTCTAATTTAATTTTTCTAAAGTTGGCAATCGCATTTGTTTTTGCTTTTTGTTATTGTTTTGTTAACAGATTGTTGGATTAGAACAGAATTAAATTATTACCCAACGATTTATATGTTGTCACAAAAAAGGTCTGACATAAATCGTAATAAGAAATCGAAAACTTTTTAAAACTAGTTTACGTTATTTTAAATGCGTTTAACGCATCAAAATTATTTGAACCAAGAAATCAATAGAAATGACATTTAACTGTAATTACAAGTATTAAAGAAAAAAAAAATGAATAAGTAACGTTGAATCTAGCCACTGCTTAGATGAGAGACTGTATGGGAATACCAGATGCTGTAAGTTTGGATGCGTGAGTGGTGTAATGAATAAAGTGTCGGAATGAGAAATCAGAGAGCCGAGTTCGAATTCAAGACAGGTTCGTGATATTTACGTACGCGCAAATACATTGGGAAAATTATAACTCCACCTCTTCTCCTCCCAGCTATGGGTTACATAGTAAAACAGGAATCAGAAAATCATTATCTCGACAGATTCTTGCAATCCCAAAATAAGTTTCGGCTTTAAATAACCTCAAAAAGCTTGAGAAACCGTAAAAAAAACAAATCTTTCAAATAAAATTATATATATATATATATATATATATATAAACAGAGGATGGATGGCTCTCTGTGTGATACCTTTTCACTCGATATCTATCCAACCGATTGTAAAATGTGAGATAGGTTCTTAGCGTAAAAATCGATAATTTAAAAAAATCAATACTCGATAAAGCCGATCAAAAATCGATGAATGCAACTTTTTTCCTAAGATTTCGTTCAAACTCGATATGTAGGTTACTTACATCATGACGAACTCAACGATACTTCATTTTTATTTCTACGCCACTGCGTTTAGCGAAAAAACACGAAAACAAAAAATCGATTTCAACACAAATTTTAAACTAAAAACTTTCTCATTTTCAAGCAATCTAATATAAACTTCTCTCAATTGTAGCTTACGATAAGTTGATTGTTTAAAAGTCATTTAATTTGATAATTGAATCCATCCATCTAGTGAAAACCCGCGTAAATAGCGAAAAAAGGCGATTTTTACTGGTTTCTTTCTTATTTTCCTTGATATTTCAACCAATTTTCATCAAACTTAACAATTGCTTTAAAAATGTATTTCTTTTTACATCCCTTTTTTAAAAAAAACTACAAAATAATTGTGGTCTAAAGTGGTCTTCACGTTGCCTATTTTACCTCTTCATGTCCTCGACTAACTTCGATTGAATAACTACATACTACTTCTGTTACATCTAAACATGATAATGTTTTTGCTCCATTCTAATTGAACACTTTTTCTGATCGACCAGCTCGGTATGGCTGCTGGTATTATATAAAAATAAGGAAAAGATAGTAGCTGGATTTTCCATCTTTCTTATTTCATTGGGGTTCTATGACACTTTGTTAAAATTAATTATTTATGCATATTTTTCAATCATTTTATGTTAATCAATGGGATCAATAAATCGGGCAATGATGTCTCTCGTTCATGTAGTTTTGTTTTACGACAATATTCATCTCTCAGCTCAGTTATGGTGTTTCTGACACAAAGAGAACTTCTGTAATGTCGAATGTTTGCCTATCGCAATGGACGGGTGTTCTCTCAAGGAGTCCCTTTTGCCTTGAAAGCCTATTGGAATTAATCTCATCCCAGATCTGAAGTGGAACTCATAAATACGATCTATCGCTAAGAATGCTGAAAAAAAGGGTCGGTTGCCTGTACCGCTCCAGTAATGCCTGACTCCTTTTGATATCCTCTACCGTTTTAAGAGCAAGATTAGGCCGAAAATGAATAACTGCTACCACATCGGCGCTAGAACTGCCCATTCATCACTTTTCAATGTTGATAGTGCAAAAGCGTCTACGCGGCCTTGTGTGTGATGAATTATTTTCCACCCTACCATCCTTTTCCCACACAGATGAAAGGTTCCGCATTTTTCTTCGGATATTTTAGTCTTTCTCCCCTTATCCTTCTTATATATTATTATAGACAATAATTACTAATTTTTACTAATATACATTTGGTCTGGTGCTTCTGCTATGTATTTAGAAATTCTTGATAAATATTATTGGTCCTGACCTGGTATCTCGACTACATTCACTTTCTCACCACCATAACGTAGCATAGTTGTGCCATTTTTATTAATACTTTCATAGTAATTGTGCTGATAAATTTTCCTCCATGGTACCTAAATTTCATCGCAGTACTAGATTGGCAGCAAGGTCTCATCATTTTACTGTAGAAATGGTTAGATGTAACCGTAAGTTCTATGCTAACAGTTTCTTCCATCGCATTTCTCGCTTGCAAGACTCACTTCCGGTTTCTTGCTTTCCAATGGACTTTGAACTTCAAAATTTTAAATGGGGTGTCAGTCGTTATCTTCTGTTTTCTTAATTCCTGTTCTTGTATTGTTCTGTTCTGTGTATGACGATAAACTACATCTGGCAGTAAGGTCTCTGATAGAAAGATCGAAGGTTTTAAAGAGCGTGGAACCACCTCTTAATTGATGTTGTTCCCAGATCCACTCTGATTCGGAGTGGTAGCACCTGTTAGGGTCCCAGTTATGGACAAATAGTGTTTTGCTTTTTGGTTTAATGATTTACTAAGAGTAGTAATACATTTTTAGAGCAAAATGACAATCAGTACAGCACTAAAATAACAATACATTTTGTAGTAAAATTACCAGCAATACATCTTATTATCTACAAACTATATATCTAAAAAAAAATATGCGTTTGCTTCGAGTGTATAAAATTATATGCAAAATATCTTTAGTTGACAGGCATAAAATTTCGTACAAAATATTTAGACTTCGGCATTAAAGAACCCATTGAGATCTTGATATACCGCTAAATAAAAACAACCAATTTATTGTTCTCTTTCCTTCATGGGGTGTTGTTTTTGCTTGTTTGTTTGTTTTTTATATTCTCTCTCGCTCAGTAACCACCTTGCGTCTTAGTGGCTTTATTGCCTTGTTTAGGGCCATTAAAACAAAAAAATTGTTTCGAATTTTTCATCGATCCGCTATACATGCATATACATTGTGTGTTTGTGTGTGTGTATCTTAAACAAAAATGCCGTTGAGTGATAATTAGATCCTAAGTAAATCACGCAGATATTCTGAACTTAGACAGAACTACTATTCACAACAGCATGCTCATCTTGGTTGCTATAATCAAGACGTTTCGGTCGTTGTACTTTCCAGCCTTCATCAGGTGTCTGACTTCCTACTAGGTAACCTTCTCGCCTTTTCGAACTGAACTTTTTATTCAGTCTGCACTTTTATCCACTAGTATATATATATATCTCTTGTCCTAGTGGGTTAAAACGTCGCTTAAGACATATCTCCTTGATCTGGAGTTGAACCCCTTGATCTGGAGTTGAATTGTTTTGATCTGGAGTTGAACCCCTTGATCTGGTGTTAATAAAAAGCCACACACTCTGGTTCAGTGGAAGAAACGGATGGGCAACACAAAGGTGAATAAGACTGGTGAGTATTAATTGATATGAGTTATCTCCCCTAAGCATGGAAAACGGAATGTGAACAACCTATTCTCATGAATAGAAGATTTCCCAATACTAAGACGGACATCTGACGAAGGCCGGAGAGTATAACGGCCGAAACGTCCTGAGTATAACAACCAAGATGAACATGCTGGTCCGAATAGCAAAGCATATAGTAATGATAATTTCTCATCTCAAAAATACCGATAAAGATTCTTCAATCGTCACCAACCCAAACGTTACCACTAGACCATCCACAGATCTTAGCTTGCAGCACATGTTATTGTAAGCGGTATCCATCTAGGCATTGGGCTTACGGCCACATCATGTTGAAACATCGGTTCCCGTACGATCACTGAAGTTAAGCAACGTTGGTCGTGGTCAATACTTAGAATAGTGACCACTTAGGAATACTAAGTTCAGTAAGCTTGGATGTGTGGGTGGGGCAATTGATGACTCGGAATTGTTAATCGGAGAGCCAAGTTCCAATTCCAATCGGTTTTGTTATATTTACCTATGCGCAGATACTCTTGGGAAAAGTGTGAATCTACCTCTTCTCCCCCAGCTATGGGTTAATTAGTAAGACTTGTATTACTAAACTATTATCACCAAAAATAAAATAAAATAAAATTGTGTACAAAAAATATTTAGATTTCGGCATTAACCCATAGAGCTGTTGATATGCCGCTAAACAAAAACAACGATATATCATGTAGGTACTGCCAAGTTCGACGTTGCTTAACTTCGGTAATCGTACAGCGTGATATTGCCGTAAGCTAAAACAGGAAGAGATACAGGGTTAATAATGTTAGTTAAATGATATCTGGCTCTCCGGATGTTGTGAGTTCTATTCCTGGGTGTGGTGGTGCTGAGAAATCACACACACACTGATTCAGTAAAAGAAAAGGGCAAGGGACACAAAAGTGAATAAAAATGTTGAGTTGAAGCGGTAATTGAAGTAAATAAACGGTTCCGGTTAAAAATTCCGAGCAGTTTACCGAATATTGCAGACTTCTGAAGAAGACCGGAGAGTACAACGGCTAAGATGAACATGCCACCCCGTGAGGATCGAACTCTCTAATAATTATGTGCAAGACCAAGTGACTTAACTATTATAAGTATGCAGGATAATTGTCGGGATGAGGTAAAAAAAAAACATTCCAAATATCGATTCAGAAATAGTAACCCGTAAGGTTATAAGCATATAATTGGCATCTAAGACAGGTGGATTGATTGATAGAAGAAAACGTGATCAAAGGTGTGTGTACTTCACTTATTTTTTATTTTACTTTAGTTCATAGTGTTGGATATTGTCCATTGTCTGTTGTCCATTGACGTGCTAGCACTCTCTTATCACTTCCTGTATTTGCGTACTTAGAATTCACTTTGAAAGCAGAGACTTTCTGTCAAACCTCTCATGATTTTCTCTTCCTCTTTGCCGTTCGGTCACAGTAAAAAAAAAAAATGAAAATAATTTAAAGTTTGAACTCACTCACACTATATTATGCTTTACTTTCAGTCTGACTATTCAAGCGAGTGTCGCCTACCCTAGCGTGGCACGGGTCTTTTCCTAGTGGTATTTCCTTTTTAGGGTCCCATTCAAACTGTCAACTTAGTTGAGGTTCATAACGAAAGCAAGCGAAGCATGAGAAACATTCCAGACAAGATTTAAAGAAAAGAAAAAAAAAAAAACATTCGTTTAACGTGATCAGTCTGGGAAAGAAAATGTCTTCCCCCAGGACAATGTCTAGGAAAAAGAATTTAAAAAAAAAAAAAAAACCTTTCCAGAATGGTCAGTCTCGATGAAAAAATAAAACATTAGAAAAAAAATACGAGCAATAAATTTTGGGAAGAGAAAAAAATTACCAAAGCTAACAAGAAATTAAAATGACGCCATTAAATGAAACATAAGGAGTTGATATGCCGTTAAACAGCTCCTGCAGCTTTCTGAATAGTTCTTTCTTTCTTTTTTCCTTTTTTCTTTTTTTAACTGGGATAAATTTTCAAATTCAGCGAACGTTAATTACCTCAATTCGAGGAGATATATATATATAAGTCCAACAATTATTTTAATATATTTATTGTTTAAACATTTTTTATAGTTGCAAGTATTTAAGTAAATTGTCTATTCATAATAAACAGAATTAACAACATTTACCGGTCTGTATGTCCGAGAAATCTCATAAAAAATATGTGTCCTCCGACAGGAATCGAACCTGTATCCTACACGGAACCGTCGTATAGCCTGACATGCTATACCATTTAGCTACATAGGAAGCGTCTGATTAGCAATGTCAGATTACTGTTTTTAAACTTCAAATTTCCCATGATTTCTCTCGAACGCTCATATCTGCTCGAAGCGTAACTTAACATAAACAAATCAAGGGAAATTTGTAGTTTAAAATTAGTAATTCGACCTTGCTAACCAGACGCTTCCTCTGTAGCTAAATGGTATGGCACGTCAGGCTATATGACTGTTCTGTGTAGAATACAGGTTCGATTCCTGTCGGAGGACATTTTACTTAAATATTTGTAACTATAAAAATAACGGATAAACAACAAATATATATATATATATCTCCAAGGTCGATAGCACGACTCTCCAGGTGTTGATTCTGAGCGTTACGCTCAGAATCCACGCCTGAAAATTGCAAGAACTGCATGAAATTCCGCGTAGTGTTATCGACGTTGCATATTATGCATATTCACTAATATATACTTATAGCTCTGTTTCATAACATTGTGCACTCTATTCAGAACACCTTAAGAATAAATATACTTACGTATGTGCAAGTATTTGTGTGTGTATGTACATTTTGTTTTATCCTAACCATTCTATATATATATATATATATATATATATATATATATATATATATATATATATATATATGTATGTTCTGAATTTCTAGCAGGAGGAGTTATGATTAAAATTTAAATATCTGGTAAGTGTTTTCACATAAGACAGAAATAGTGACACTGAAATCGGAAGGTGTATTGGAATATCTTGGGAAGCATTCCAAAAGCTAAGCTTTGAAATAGGAAAATTTCGCTAGAAACACGGAAAAGTGTACTAAACTACTACTGTGGTAGCTGTCCTCCTGTATGGGAGTGAGTGTTGGACAATCTCCTCAAAAATAAAGAGGCATGAAGCAACAGAAATGTGGTTCTCCACAAGGATGCTGGTGATACTGAGAACTGAACATGTGAGCAATGATAAAGTTTTGGAGATAATTGAAACAAAAAGGAAACTGATACAGGAAGAGATAGCGGAGGTTTCTAGCGGCATATAATGAGAAAAGAGAGCTGGGAAAATCTGATACTCACAGGACATATAGAGGGCAAGAGGGACAGAGAAAAACAACTCCTAACATACTCAGTGAGCTTGAGTAAATGGGTGGCAGAACAGGGTTTAGAATAAATAATAGAAAGATAGTTTATTAAGAGTCTTAAGGTACAGGAAGTTGAGGAGAGCCATTACCGCCTACGTCATGAAGGCACACGGCACATAAAGATTCATTTTCTCTTTCATTTGGCCTCCTCTTTTAAATCTTTTAGCGTAAAGTTTGCCGCTTCAGAGATCTCTTCTTTCTTGTGAAGTCGATCCGTTTCGAAGTAAAATCGACTTATGTAGAAGTACGAAAACCAGTTAAAATGTCGGTTACTTGACTGAGCGACAATGTGGTTAAAAGTATTTTTTTTCTTTTTTTCTGCAGCTGCGCACAAACATTTCAGAATATCACATCAATAAATGATAGCGAAGACAAGCACTGAACGATTTGCGCAAAAGCGTTCGTTTCAGAATAGCATGAAATAGACTGCAAAAATGCTTTGAAAAATACTTTCTAGATTTAAAAAAAAAATGGCGACTGTGTTTGAAGCCGATAAGACCCGTAGTAGTGGAGGATATCGCAAATAGTAAATCAAATTATTGCAAACGTACTGTCTGTCACTGCGATTGCGAGAAAGAATTTAAAAAAATGATACGAATACGAGAAAATATTTGATAACAACACGTCGTTGTTCTGCAAACACCGTTAAAGAGCCATTGAAATGCATTTGCTTTATTTGGCCTTTGAAAACTTAATTTCCTCTCAAAACTGTTCACTGTCTTTATTTACCGTTCCAACATTTCTGAACAATGTCTTGCTCTGTTCTTTGACTCATTTGTTTCCAGTCTTTCTCTTAATGTCTCCTTCTCTCTCTCTTTCTCTCTCCCTCTCTTTGTCCCTTCAATAATAGACAGATAAGGAAATTGAATACAGAATAGACTGTTCTAAAGATAGTTTCGCCCAACACTGCAAATTGCTACAAAACCAAAACATTAACCTAAAAAAAAAAAAAGCTAGTCCTTGTTCTTAACCCCTTCACCGGCGAAGACGCGTATATACGTTTTTACCGAACTTGTCGCGGACACGGACGAATAAACACGTCCCCCCCAAAAAAAAGTTCTTAAGCTAGCTACAGACGTGTTTATATGTTGATCTTGATTCTTTTTATGTCCCGAGTTTGAAACTAGTCCAATTTTCAACTCACGTCGCTTCTCTCTCTCTCTCCCTCTCGTGTTCACGTCGCTTCTCTCCCTCTCTCTCTCTCTCTCTCTCCCTCTCGTGTTCACGTCGCTTCTCTCTCTCTCTCTCTCCCTCTCATGTTCACGTCGCTTCTCTCTCTCTCTCTCTCTCCCTCTCATGTTCACGTCGCTTCTCTCTCTCCTTCTCGTATTCACATCGCTTCTATCTCTCCCTCTCGGATTCACATCGCTTCTCTCTCTCCCTCTCTCTCTCTCGTATTCACGTCGCCTCTCTCTCTCTCTCTCTCTCCCTCACGTTGTTCTCTCTCTCTCTCTCTCTCGTGTTCACGTCCTTCTCTCTCTCTCTCTCTCTCCTCTCTCATATTTCTGTTCACTCTCTCTCTCCTTCTCGTATTCACATCGCTTCTCTCTCTCCCTCTCGGATTCACATCTCTCTCTCTCTCTCCTCTCCTCTCTCGTATTCACTTCTCTTCTCTCTCTCTCTCTCTCCCTCTCCCACGTAAAATCTCTCTCTCTCACTCTCTCTCTCTCTCTCTCTCTCTCTCTCTCTCGTGCTCACGTCGCTCTGGTGGAGGTGTGAGCTACCGTTCGGGGATGTCAAGTTACCTCAGTTTCTTAGTCTTCCAAAACAAAATAAAAAATCGTCTGAAATCGAAACATTTTCAAAACATAATTGGCGGGAAACTGGTTAAATAGCTTCATCAGATCAAAATTTTCATATGGTTGTCATTTATGGCTCGAAACTCATTTAAAAATATTTAAACTATCACAACCACTATTTGAAATGAGAGATTAAAAATGGATTCGAGTGAATGGAGTATGTAGAGAGGATCATTTTTCTTCGAACAACGTGGACTGGCGTTATACAATCGCAAAAATAATGGTGCCAATAACAGAAAGCACATCAACCGAGAACTATCAACGGTAGCAATAATTAAAATGGATAGCTCATGTAATCTGAAGAGAAAATAAAGGTATAATCAAGATGTTGACTTCCACACGACTTCAAACAAAACGTTAGGAAGGAAACCTCCTAATGAATACTGGAAAGAACAATAATAGTGGACTTGAGAAACCTGTCTTCACATTAACAAATTTTACCGAAAGAAACACTGGCTTTTGGGATGTATCCTTATAAGGAAACCTCTCTCTCTCTCTCTCTCTCTCTCTCTCGTTGCTATTTTTCGTTTGTTTCGAATGTTTCAGTCAATCACTCATGCTCACCATTGTCCTCTCTCTCTCTCTCTCTCATTCGTGCTCACTTCTGTCCTCTCTCTCACATTCGTGCTCACCTCTGTTCTCTCTCTATCATTCGTGCTCACGTCGCCTCTCTCATTCACATCGCTTCTCTCTCACTTGTGCTCACGTCGCTTCTCTCTCTCTCTCTCGTGCTCACGTCGCTTCTCTCTCTCTCTCTCTCTCTCGTGATCACGTTCTCTCTCTCTCTCTCTCGTGCTCACGCTCACGTCTCTCTCTCTCGTGCTTACGTCGCCTCTCTCTCGTGCTCTTTTCTCTCTTCTCTCTCTCTCGTGCACGTCGATTCTCTCTCTCTTCTCACGTCTTCTTTCTCTCTCTCAAAATGCTCGTCCTTCTTTTCTCTCTCTCGTGATCACGTCGCTTCTCTCTCATATATTATTTGTTTAATATATATACCATATACTCCAGTACATTGCGAGGTTTTATGATCAATTTTTTACGCAAAATATAAGTGGCTTTTTTTTCTCCTTTTTGAAATAATCATTTTCGCTGACCGGTTACATTATACACAGATAATTCTTTTTCGGGGGTTGTTTTAAGTCATGCAAAAAAAAAAATTAGAGCTCGCACTATTACATGAGTATATACGATTCAACACAAGACCTAAAAACGAGTAAAGAATAAAACTACCTCTGCAATTTTGAGAGTGTGCTGGCGTACTGCCTCACAGTTTGGCATGCCGGCTGCTCGGCAGCGGACAAGAGAGCTCTCCAAAGGATTATAGATGCTGCCCCTGAAAATAATCGGCTTCTCACTGCTCTCCTTGGAAGACATTTCTAATTCTCGCTGAAGGCTAGCACACGTCTTAGGTAGTACTTACCTGAATTCTTACTCTCAGGGCGACATTTTAGTTCTCTCAATTCGAGAACAAAGCGCTTGAAAGATTTTATCATTATCTTTGGGCCATACGTAAACTGAACGTTGCTGCACACTGACAATTTTCAACAGATTTTCTTCATTCTTTATTTAATTAATGTTTTGTTCTTATGATTATTGTTTTAAAGTGTCTGCAGTCTGTTTTATGTCGTAATCTATGACTACACAAACGCGTACAAATATATTGGATGACTAAATATATATTGGCCAGTCTTGAGTAGTATTTACCATCGAAAAAGCTAGAAATCGGAAGAAGGTAAATTAAGTTTTATTTATTAAAAAGATAGCACGCTAATAAAGTAAAGAAATGTTACGTGCCTTATGTCCAACTCTGAAAAGGAAAAAAATACTTCTTTCTTCGTTTATGTGCCGTGTTCCTTCATGACGTAGGCGATTATGGCTATCCACTTCTCCCTATTTCTTGTAGCTCTCAATAAGTTTTGTCTCTTTGCTACTTCTCCCAGACCACGTTCTGTCATCCACTTGTTTAAGTCCGCTAGGTATGTTACGCGTTTCTTTCCCTTTTTCTCTTTCCTTATATTCACCCTGTGAGTATCAAATTCTCCAAGCCCTTCCTTCTCATTATGTGTCCCAGAAATTTCAACTGCCTCTTCCTGATGTTAAGTATAAACTTCCTCCTTGGTTGCATCCTTTGCAAAACCTCATCGTTGCTCACAAGCTCGGTCCATGATATCCTTAGCATCCTTCTGTAGGATTGATACCTGCGTTGCCTGGAGTCTCTTCAGCTTTGAGGAGACCGTCAAACATTAACTGCCGTAAAGGAGGACAGCAGTTCAGTACTCTTCTTTCTCGTAATACTCTGCGTAGCTTTTGGAAAGCTTCCCAGATATTTCAATTTCTGCACCTGCTCGATTTTAGTGTTCCTAACTTGTAAATCGCATTTCGGACTCATCCTGGTGGGTATTTATTTCTTTCCAGTACCTACGCAAAGTCTGACCCATTTGTAAAACCTGAAGTCCGCTGATTGACTTAAAGGGCCAAAGTTATGGCAGCAGACACAGTGTGTTAAGAATTCATCGAATCTGTTTTAAGTATGGCAGTTTAATCGTTTTTCGAAAAGTGTAATATTTTAATTGATATTTTAAATTTTAATTTTTGTTAATTAATCAAAAGTCTATTTTTATTTTTTTAAGTTTCTGCAACAACTTCCTAGCGTTGCATTAGCAATGAAAACCTCAGAAAGTTCCAAAACATTTCTGAGATTTCCTTAAAATTGTACATTGGTGATACAAACTTAGTTGATATTCGCAAGTGAAAGTTGTATCTTTTTGCCGCATGATAACCCCTGTCCTCATGCCATTACTAAAACTGAACTCGTTTATTATGGAGTCTTTTTTGTGACCACATATTTTTTTTTTAATGAATTTCGAACTGAACCCTTTATTTCGTCAACTGGGTAGATTGTTCTAGTTCCATGTGCCATGCCTCTTCCACCACTGCAGTAGCTAGGTATTGAACTCACTAACGAATGGATTTTGAGGACTTATAAACTTAATGTCTCAGTAACATTTTTTTTTTACCAGAGCTCATATTGCAATTTTGTTGTTGCTATTACTTTTCTCTATCACTCTAACATTTCTATGTTTGGCCGGCTTAGGAAGTTTTTGTGCTGATTCCTTAAGTCTTCAAATTTTCTAGTGATATTCAGCCATCTCCCTTTTTCCTTCATATGTGGTGAGCTTCACCTGATTTTTTTTCTATTTCCCCTCGTTTTACGATGTGCTTGCAGTCATATCTTAAGGGGGGGTCAACCTATTTCTCCTTTATATTTCTTACCACAGCTGCACGGGACGATGTACACACAATCCTTAGTCATGTTCTCCTCTATGGAGGGGGGGAGTCTAACTCAGAAGAGGTGTCTGCGAAGTGTTGAAGCATTTTTGAAGATTGTCCTGATGTTATATGAACCACAGATCTTTTGTATTTTTTCTGATTATCCCTTCACATAGGGTAGACAGACCGAAGCTGTTTCCTAACTGTTATCATCTTGTACCCTTCTATCCCAATTTGTCGGAGCTACTGTCATGTACCCAGGGTGGTTGTTACATTGTAGGATACTGCTTATACTGACCATTTGCTCTTCAGATGTCTCTGGTTTGCCACTTATGACTTTTGCTCGATGTTGTAAGCAGCGGACAATTTCTTTCTTTACTCTGTATGGTTGATGGGAGCTGAAATGAAAGCATTGTCTGGTGGCTTACGGTATACGGATGTCATGAACCCATGCTCTGTTTGTGATATTAGTACATCCAGGAATTCTAGTTCGTTGTTGTTTACTTTCTCCATTGTGAACTGTTTCGATGATCATATTAATTTACATGGACCAGTAGTTATTTTTTTTTACCAGAGCTCATATTGCAATTTTGTTGTTATGACTTTTCTCTGGCACTCTGTTATAAAATAGTCATCTACGTATCTCAGCGACAGAGTTGGTTTTAATGATGTGCCATTTCTTCGAAGTATTCCATGTATATGTTTGCCATTGCTGGTGATAATATCGAGCCCATTGATGAGCCTTCATCCTGTTGATATAAGTTTGATCCCGTTCTGAAGTGTGTTGTTTGAGTACAAAAACTCAGCATCTCCATCAGGTTACCTATTGGTATACTGGTCCGTTCTCCTACCGATAAGTCCGAGGCCAGTCTGTCCATGTCTCCCCCGTGAGTACCTTGGTGACCGAACTCACCACGGGACTCTGCTATTTGGGCACATTTACTCATAAATATAACATATCTAAAAAAAACAACATATTTTTGCCATATATTATCTGTCAGCATAATCTGTCATGATCAGCAATTTAAAAATATCAGTACGTTTAAACCCTCGGTCACGATGGCTTGTGACTTCATGCTAACACAACCATCGACGGCTTCTGAAAAATTCTGTCTACCCAATTTCTCTCACAAGACTTGGGTCGACACGTGTTGTAGTTTTCAAGAACTTTTCAATTATATATATATATATATATATATATATATATATATAGTTTATGCAAAACTAGGTAATCCGTATGGGTAGACCCAAGGAGGATGATATCCAGAGAGCACAGAGGTACATCTAACTCACTCATATCTTCTCTCCAACCTCACTTCCTCACTTCGTTAATTTCACATACGCTTGGTGCGGTCCATCAAAAATGTGTAAGTTTCTTTTCATTTTTCATTTCAACTTTTGGAAGTAAAGTCTGATGATCCGGAGCCCTTTAAAAGGGTTGTGGTGAAATAACTTATTACATGGAACCTTAAAATGGTCTGTTTTTATTCAAATATATATATATATATGTGTGTGCGATTTTCCAGGAGTTAGGAATATATGGGAAATGCTTCTCAGTAAATACAGAAAATGGGAAACGTTTTAATTGAAAAATATAGACGATGAGGTATTCGGCAACAATGCTGACAAAATCGGCAGCAATAAATAAACGATCGGCAGAGCAATACCGATTAAACAGGCGCTTATTTCATAGTTAAACCGCCTGACATAGTTATCGTTTCTTTTTTGAATTGGAAGAATTTTTTTAAGAAAAATAAAAAGAAAAAAACAGCTAAACTATTTTTTTTTCGTTTTTATTTATTTTTTTTCACCGCTGAAAATAATTCAAGAAGATGAAAAGCAAACCTGCTGATTTAAAGCAAACAGCCCTAAATTGAAACTAAGAGAAATCGAATTTACTGGAAAATGAAAAGGAGATTATAAAAAAAAAAAGAAGAAAAATGAGAGAGAAGACTGAACCGGAAATTATTGGGAAATAAATCCCGCACAAAAACGTCCCGGGTTTAATATTAAAGATATTGCTCATTTGCAGAAAACAGACGACAGAATGTATACTTTGAATTATTTCCTTTCAGAAATTTTCTTATATCTTATTTTACACCCAAATTGTAATCAATTTTTGTGTTAGCAAATGTTAAATTTAACTTTCGCTGGTGTTACTTTTATTCATTCATTTTATTTATCTATTACAACTTTCTCATGTTTTTTTTCGGTTCGTTTCTTTTAATTTCTTCTATTATTTAATATCAGAAACGGTTAAAGATTTATTTGCTGTTGAATGAAACCATTAAGAAGAGTATTGACAAATGTTATAAATTCATACAAATTTAAAATTCGTTGAAAACGACACTAGAATTTTAACCAGAAGGTCAAAATCCAAGCCATGCCGTGAGTATCAGCTTTTACGCTGTCAGGATTTTACCTGATATACGACACTGGAAATGTTTTTTTTTGTTTTTTGTTTTTTTTTTGGGGGGTGGGGTATTTTTTATTTTAGTTTATTTTTTTTACAATAATATTCACCCTGTACAAGGCCCGGGAGACACTCGAGGTAGAGGAATATACAGTAAGAGGCACTGTGTGACGCCATTCGTGGCCATATTGTGACAACATTCTCTGATCGTACGTTGCTCACTGCATCTGTGATGGCATCAAAGGTTGAGTGTATTTGCATATACACCC